AGGTGGTTGTCAGCAATTTCATGCCAGGTCGCTTTCTGGAGAAGGCAGTAATGGCTTTGGACTTGCCATTGTTATCCTTTCAATCTTTTGTTGCAAGATAATTATAAGGATGCAATGGGTGCGGTTGTTTAATGAACTTATTGGCATCGATTAGGGGTAGCAGGAGGTGGTTTTCTTGCTATAGTTATGGCTTGCGCAAGCGTATTGAGTATGAACAGACCAGGTATGGCGATTCGCTTTACGTCGTTATGACATTGTCGAGTTTTTCTTGCGTTTCTATTGGGTTTTTTGTGTTTACTGTTTGTGTTGATCCTGGAAGATCTACATCTTACTGCACAATTCCTCGATGATAGACTTTGAAAGACATGAGGCCTGATAGTTCCTCATGCCTAATATAGTGATGCCTTTTAGTAGCGGTGTGCTTTAGATATGATGCTGATTTAATTAGAAATAATGTATTATTTCTTGGGTCCGGCTTCACGCAGTAGGCCCTTGCTTCTCTTCCTCAATTATTTGAAAATACTTTACTTGTTCTGCATTCACTTATATGCTCCATTGACATGGAAGGCAACCAACTCCTTTATTTACATAATTTTCTGCAGACAATTAATAAGACCGTGATCCTCTCCGATAAATTTCTCCTTGACATCATGGAAGGCAACCATTCTTTATATTATAATTTTTTTGGGGGGTGGGGGGGGGGTGGGGGGAGTGTTTCTAACTTAACCCTTTGTTACATGTATGATATAAAATAGTATGGAAGTTTGTTGACACAAAATGGTTATAACTACCTTTCATGATGATTAATGGTATTGTTATAACCATCTCCATGGAAGTAGAGACATAAGAAAAAGCCAGAACCAACGCTGATAATTCTAAGAAGTTAAATTACTCCCATCAAAGAAATCTATGAAAACATTGAGCATGCATTAATCTTAAAAGTTTTTGAGTTTTTCCTCTCTCTCTCTCTCTCTCACAGCAGACATGGTTGAAGGTATGTATATCCTATATGTTTTTATATGAACTTAAGGCCTGAGTTAACTCTTCTATGTTTGGTATGAACACATGCATATATCATTGTGTCTTACAAATATCCTATTTTAGTTATTTTTTATTCAAGAGATTAATCCATCGATTTCAAAATAAACAAAAAACAATTTTCTCCTTTGTTGATTCTAAGGACCAAAATAGCACCTCCACATAATATTTCATCCGCTTCAAAATGTAAAATTTTAAGAAGAAAATCTCGCTCCCTTAACAATCTACTACGGGTGTGTTTGGATACAATAATGATTCTTTTGTTGTGTTTTTCTTATAAAACATAACATCATAGTGTTTTTCTTTTCGTTTCGTCAAAGCTATTTGATCTTTTCCATACATATATTATAATATTATTTTACATTATTATTATTATAAGTACATTATATAAAAGTTGTATATATCATGTAAAAAACAATAATACTATATTATTTAATTTATATTATAAATATATACTAATAAATTATGTATATTATGTTATATTAATTTGTTAATACAGAAAAATATTATTGCAGTAACAAATTTAATATATTACATTAACTAAATATAATATAACTATATTATCATACATTGTATTATAATATAATATAATTTATTAAAAATACATTATTTTATCAGAATAAACATATTATATTATTAGTTACATTAACTGCAATATGATATTAAATAATATATTAATAGTTTTTCGTAAGAAATTATAATATAGTATATTAAAATAAATATTGTTCTAAATATATATATTCTATTATTAATTGTATTAACTACAATATAATATTAAATAGTATAACTACACTAGTTTTATAGTAAGAAATTATAATATAATATGTTACATTAAACATATTATTTTATACTATTTTAATTAAAATATAAAAATTAATAAAATAAAATGTATTATTATAAAATTTTATACAACAATATTATAATATATTATATTAGATTAAAATATAATATATAAATAATATTTACGATACATATTATTGTAAATAATATTTATATATTATATTAATTAACTATATTAACCACTATATAATGTTTAATAATATATTATGTTATTTACATTAATTATTACAACATATTATCATCTATTTTATTATGTAATGCATCACATGAAATTATTATAAGATATTACATTATTGTAATATATAATATTATGTTATATTATATTGAAAAGTATTACAATGTATATTATATTAATTATTACGATACATTACCATATATTGTATTGTAATATAATGTATTATATTATAATATATTAAATCAATACAACATATGATCACTAGTGTGCACATGTGCAAAGCACAATCCCTTATTTTTTTAAGCACATCATTTTAAACTTTCCTTCCTCTAAATTTTAAAACATTTGATTTAATTATTGTACGCTTAAAGTTAGAAATTGTATCTACTCCTATATACTTAATGAATGATCTAAGTTTTAATACATTTGATTTAGAAATCATATATATTCCTTTATACTTGAAGGAAAACCACGTTTTAATACATGTAATTTGCTTCACTGTTTATAATACAGTAAATTACTATAGAATGAATTCAAGTATAGGGGCTCAACTCTAATTCCCTGTTTATGCTACAGTAAACTACTGTAGCTTAAATAGTAACTTCGGTAGATAGGGGCCAGATCCAGTTTACTGTTTACACCATAGTAGTTCACTGTAGCATTTTACCATAGCATGAACAGTGATTCTTTGAATCATCCTGTAAGCATAGAAGAGTAGATAATATAATATATATTTGTACTATGATATGACATGTTAATGTATATCTGTTTGTGGAAAATTTGTAGTAAAAGAAATGAAGGAAAAATTAATTTGTATTCCTTTAATCTCAGTTACAATTGAATTTCCTGATTACAAAAAAGAGGAGAATTGATCTGGATTCTCCCCTTTGTTTAAATCTGGGTTCTTCACGGTGGCGATGAGATGCCTCCCTCGAATGCTCGCGTCGAGTTTGCTTCTCGTTGACGATCCGACGTCTTATTTCACTGGAACATGGTTTTCTCCTCACGATTTGACGTTGTGGATAACTCTGAACGAGTTTAAAACTCTATGAAAGAGTTGATTTAACCGAAAGTCGGTTATAAGCCAAGGATGAAGAAGATCTTGTTGCCGATCTCCAAAGCTCCAACCGAAGGATGAAGGATCCTCTTTTCGCTGCCAAGTCCCAGCCGAAGGATCAGAACCGAAGCCCCCTGAACTGAATTGATATTCAGTTATTTATAGGGGATTAAAGGGTGTAACCACCTCCTTAATTCGCTCCTAAGTGGGGCTAATGGGATGTAACCGCCCCTTAAATCACTCCTGAGTGGAGTTATGATCCCCTCAGATCGTGGAAAACGGTTTTGAAACTGTTCAGCTCGTGTTTGAACGAGTCAAACGCAAAATCCGCGTTCTGGTGTAAATTCTGCGTTCAAACGCAGTGTCTGGAAGCTTGAACGCAGTGTCTGAAAGCTCAAACGCAGCGGCTGGAAGCTGCGTTGGCATCTTGTTGGAAGCTGCGTTTGGCATCTTGTTGGAAGTTGCGTTTGGCAGCGGATGGAAGCTGCGTTGGTAGCTTGTTAGAAGCTGCGTTGGGCAGCGGTTGGAAGCTGCGTTGGGCAGCGGTTGGAAGCTGCGTTGGCAGCAGTTAGAAACTGCATTGGGCAGCGGTTGGAAGCTGCGTTTTGCAGCGGTTGGAAGCTGCGTTGGCAGCGGTTGGAAGCTGCGTTGGGCAGCGGTTGGAAGCTGCGTTGGCAGCAGTTAGAAACTGCATTGGGCAGCGGTTGGAAGCTGCGTTTTGCAGCATTTAGGAGCTACGTTTGGATAGATTTGACTCTGGAATGAGACCACTTATGCTTCACCTCTGGGATGCAGGGATGAGTCTTGCGTCTTGGATTGAAGAGATCGTCGATTTGTAGTCTCTTTCTGTCAGAGCGTTGCAAAGATCGTCGTTTTGTAATCTTTGTTTTAGCTCTTTGATATGTGAGAGTTGTCAGATTGTCACCTTCATCGATCTACGTGAAAGTCTTCCATCATCGGTGTTTGATGGGGAATCAGCTATCTATTGTGATTTTTAGACAGCCTACAATATCATAACATGTTATAATAATATATATTGGATCAATTAATAGTACTTTATAATATATTATATTAAAATTTTTTAATATTTTATACTAATTATAATATATTAAATAAATTCATAACATCTCCCAAAACTAAAAACACAAAGCCCAAAATATATTTTTTGCTATTTTGAGATAAGTGTTTCATTTTTGCTTTTTGCCTATATGTGTTTTCATTTTCTTTATGAAAACACAATGGTTTTCAAACATGTTGTGTTTTTATTCTGGCAAAAACACCATGATAATATGGCAAAATCACTATGGTAATAAAAAAACATCATAGTTGCCAATCACCCCTAACCAACTCACAATCTAGTAAGCCACTCACAATGTCTCATGCACGCATCACACCCCAAGAGCAAAATGTATATCCATACACGTAATTTTACGAAAAATGATAGGGGCATACCCCCAACCACAACTCCATCTCTCTCATTTGCTACAGCGCACCGGGCCCCACATGGGATTTTAAAATTCCCATGTGGAGCCCGGTGCACTGTAACAATTGAGAGAGAGGGTGTGGTTGGAATTATGGTTGGGAGTGTGCCTCTAGTGCCACCCTAATTTTACACGCCCTTGTAAAAATTACGATTAACGCTGTCGGGTTGGTTTTCTTATAAAATGTTAAAGATAAATAGAGTTTTTTTGACAACCCTAAAACTTTCTGATTTTTTGGAAGTCAACGAAGGTTATCTAACAAACGTTCAAGGCTAAGGGTAGCTTTCTGATGCGCAGACTAAAATAAAAATATAAAAAAGTCTACGTCAGCGTGTAGTAGTTAAAAAAAAAAAAAAGAGTGTGGGCCACGGAAACTGGATCGTAGACTTGTTCTTTAGAATCTATTAACAAACATTAACAACTCCAAACCCAGCACCGATTTTTTTTTTTTTAAAAAAGGAAAAAAAGAAAAAAGAAAAAAAAAGGTCTCAGCACGCGCTGGTTCTTCTCTCTTTGTCGTCTTCTTCCTCCTTGAAATCCTTTGGTCTGAGATCGAACAGATGTGGATCCAGCACCATCAACGAGAGGAGGAGGAGGAGGAGAAGCAGAGGGGATCCGATTTCTCATGAAGAAGAGGCCACGTCATCATCATCCTAGGGCTCCTTCAGCTACCACCACGATGATGAGGTAAAAATTCATTTTTTTTTCTTCGAATCTTTCATCGCTCATTAGATAAAGATTCTACCTTATATTCGAAAGGCTCATCCATTGGATCTTTCTCTACATTCAATTATTTTTGAAAAGTTGAACAGTTGACTCTACTTACAGTTTCACCCTCGTTTAAAAATGGTAACTTTTTCTTCTTCTAAATACAAGTGTTTATTGTTTGGTGGGTGTTTATATTTAGTTTAGAGTGGGGGATTATGTTTCGAATATTATCCAAAAATTTGTCCACATGTGACATTCTCATATGCTTCGAACCGAAATTTGGTTGCATCATTTTTTACTCGCAGTTCGGAAGTTTCAAGATGTAGGCGAATTTAGCCTTGTCCACAAAGTGTTGTACGGTGCTTGGATATAGCAGCTTTTTAGATGCCGTAAATGCCTTTGTCCTGCAGTGCAGGTAGGGAATATTAGACACGAATCATTGTTAAGGAACAGCACCATGGGATCAATTGGTTCTGGCTTTTGGTGTGTTTATAGACATCGATTGGTATCTAGATTGTAATTAAATGAGAGGGTGTTCTATTCGGGGCCTGCTAAAACCATAAGTTTTCTCTATTATACTAAATTTCACCAAGACGGGCGACATCTGGATTGTCACATGGAAATTTAGCGTATCACAATGTGCCTGCCTTTATATCGCAGGTCAAAGAAGGTCTTTGGGATATCTTTATCCCTCATTCTTATCAACTTGGCTTCTATAATGGAACGTGCCGATGAAAATCTTCTTCCCTCTGTCTATAGAGAAGTTAGTGCAGCCTTCAATGCTGGACCTACCGATCTTGGATACCTTACTTTCATAAGGAACTTTGTGCAAGCATTATCCTCTCCTTTGGCAGGTATTCTTGCCCTTAACTACGACCGGCCATCAGTTCTTGCTTTAGGAACTGCTTGCTGGGCTTTATCAACAGCTGCAGTCGGTGCTTGTCAGCAATTTCAGCAGGTTGCTTTCTGGAGAGCTGTAAATGGCCTGGGGCTTGCCCTTGTTATCCCTGCTCTCCAATCTTTTATCGCAGATAGTTATAAGGATGGTTCGAGGGGTGCTGGATTTGGATTCTTGAACCTTATTGGATCAATCGGGGGTATAGGAGGCGGTGTTTTGGCTACAATAATGGCTGGGCAAGTGTATTGGAATCTTCCAGGATGGCGATTTGCCTTCATCATGATGGCATTGTTGAGTTTGCTAATTGGGTTTCTTGTGTTTATGTTTGTTGTTGATCCTAGAAGATCCACTCTTAGTGCACATGGTTCTGATCAGAACTTAGAGAGGTATGTAGGATATCCAGTTTCCTTATGACTATGTGATGCTTTCTGCTTCTCAACATAGTTTGCTTATGTTAGATACAATGCTGATTTAATTAGAATAACAAATTTTTTCTTGGCTCGAGGTTATGCTGAAACAATAATTTCGAAGGGGGGTAAGTAAATTGTCTAATATACTCCATTTAGGCCGTATGCTCTAACCCTCAAATTTATTGAAAAAATGTCGAACTAATTTTTTCTTGGCTGATGTTTAGTCAGTATTCCATATATGCTCCTTGATATAAAGGGAAGAAGCCTCATTATATTGCCTAATGTTGCAGTCAATGAGCTGTGATATTCTATCAAACAAAATACATCTTAAAGATTCATATTTTATCTTCTTTTTTCTTTGATTCGAAACACTGCAGATTGTTCTTTGACTTCTCTGAAAATGTTTTACTAGCAGCAGGATTAAGGAGTTATTTCAAATGGAATCCTCAGAAATTACAGTAGGATAAGGACAATACATGTATAAGAGCTGATACAACACGTCTAGCTGATCCGTTTATGATATTTCGTCAAGCCATCTGATGCCTGATGCAACATTCAATTTATTCTGATGTCTATAGAGCATTGACACAACTACGACATGATATGGAAACATAAAATATTGAAAAGAAGAAGGAAAAGAGAGTGCCCATTTAAGGAAAATATGTCTAGAGAGGCTCCTGCACATATAGATTCTTGCAAGTTTCAGTCTGATACCTGCTGGAAACAACACATGACTCGCTTTTATGTCCATGCTTAGCTGATTCCTCATTTGAGTACTTAACACCACAACTTGAAAACTGCAACTTCCAGCCAAGGTTATTGGAGCGATCTTGCCAGTTTCTCACTTAGTAGACACTTCTAAAATTCTTCTTATTACTAGTGCAATTCATGCTAAATATAAATAAAGGATGATACAACATGTGGATCCTTTTAGAATTATAGCCATGCCTATACCATTGACAGTGATAGCATTGATACAGATATATATCCTGATTAATATTCAGATGTGACAATTGTTGCCTATTTTCTTCAAAGCATATGAGAAATTATCTTTGTATTGAATGAGGAAGTTAACACAGTGGTATTTAATGCGGAAGATAACATGGTGATGCATGCATGTGAGAGGACTGGGTAATAAGTTTGTTTCTGTTTCGTAACTTAACCCTTCAACAACTGTTGCTTAACATTTCTACAATATTCTACTTTGAGTTGGAGTGCTAATTTATTTTCTAGTTTTCTTCCAGAGCCAATTTAATGGGAAAGGCGAATGCTGCTCTCCCTCTGTGGAACGAATCTTGGACAACAATGAAAGCCGTAATGAAAGTGCAAACATTTCAAATCATTGTCCTGCAGGGTATTGTCGGCATGTTCCCATGGACTGCCATGGTTTTCTTCACCATGTGGTTTGAACTGATCGGTAAGAACTAAGAAAACATGAAAAATACTTGAATTTCTGTGGAAATTTGTATTTTGCTACAAAATAAAAAGTTGGGTGAATAACAAGAAAGTGTAAATTACACTAAAGTTCAGTGTTTTGCAGTAGACCCCGATAACTTTCAACTCGCACTAAACCCCCAGTAACTTATGGAATTGCAGAAAACCCCAATAAGATTTCTATATTTTGCAGATTATCCCCATAAATTAGAACAAAAAATAAAAATAAAAAAAGAAGGTATTTTTGAAAGTTATTGGGGGTTTAGTGTTATTTACCCAAAAGATGTTGGGGGTTTTTCTGCAGAAGTTATTGGGGGTTTAGTGTGATTTTGAAAGTTATTGGGGGTTTACTCCAAGACGCTGAAAATTCTTGGGAGTTTGCTGTAATATGCCCTATTTTTCAAGAAACACCTCATCTAAAAAGTTCAACGACGAGAAACTCTCGTCTATGGTTATTGGTGAAACTGTTATTTTTTCTTAATAGAGTTTGGTTTATTAGATAGAATTTGCATGCAAAGTTCTAGCTTAGTGATTCAAAATTAGATTTTTTTGTCAAATAAATAATATTTTTTCTCTATGTTCTTCCTGACAATTCCCGAAATCTGTGAGTTCTAAAGGGAAGTGTGTTGTCAGACATCTGCACATGTGCAATCGTCTATACAGACGTCTAAAGAACCAAATTTTATGAGCAAATTAACCGCTACATTAATCGTCATATATGAGGGACTTTGTTGGAGAGCAGGGTATTAAGTGAAGGGGGTTTCTTGTTATATACCCTAAAAAGTTATTAATATTTTATTTTTTGGTATATGATGCAGGGTTTGACAACAAAAGCTCGGCTGCACTAAATAGCCTATTCGCAGTTGGATGTGCCACAGGCTCACTACTCGGTGGACTAGTAGCAGACTTTATATCACGGTTCTACCCAGATACAGGCAGGATAATGTGCGCACAATTTAGTGCATTTATGGGCATCCCTTTCTCATATTATCTCCTCACCTCCATTCCCCAATCCACCGATAACTGGTCAACATTCGCTTGTACTCTCTTCTTTATGGGACTAACCATAAGCTGGTGTGCTACTTGTGCAAATAATCCAATGTTTGCTGAAGTTGTTCCTCCGAAACATAGAACCATGATTTATGCCTTTGATCGGGCATTTGAAGGCTCGTTTTCGTCTTTTGCAGCTCCTGCTGTTGGAATACTGACTGAAAAGTTTTACGGGTATGATTCAAAATCTGCGAGTTTGTTGCATGGGTCGGCTCCAGAGGCGTTGGCTCTTTCGAGGGGGTTATTGACTATGATGGCTGTTCCTTTTGGGTTGTGTTGCTTGTTTTATAGTCCTTTGTATTTTGTGTTTAGACGAGATAGAGATAGTGCTAGAATGGCTAGTGTGAAGGAGCTGGAAATAACTTGAAGGGAGCTTCGGTTTTGTTGTTACCACACGAAATCCGATTCTTGTTGTTATCACACGAAATCTGATTCTTGTTGTAATGGTTATTTACATATTTATTTTTTTTCTTTTTGAGAAACTTTTGTTGTTGTAACAGAGAGGTCTAAGAATTAATCAGACACGATGTAGAGATTCTTGAAATGCAAATTTCAATTTTCCTTGCTGTTTCAAATAAGGATACTGCATGCTTGAGAATCGTGCAGTGTGTCAGCTTTTGATATGGTTGAATCATGCTTGGTTCAGTGTTATTATTAGTTTTAGTTTTACTTTTTATTTACCTGAAGGATTTTGTTTCCATTTGAGTCTTACCGAGGATTGTGTCTCTCTTCCATTATATATAATGTCGAAAAAGGGAAAAGAAAAAGTGAAGGATGATGAAGGAGAAGAAGAAGTGGATCAATGAGCAAGGAAGAACAGGGAGAACTGAAGAATCCATCCTCAGCCGATCGAGGAGAGTCGAAAGAGGTTGAGGATCGAAAGACAGAGGTGAGGAAATTTGAATCTTTTTATTATTTTTAGCAATTGTTGTCGTAGTTCTGTTAAGGAGAGGCTTTGTCAATACACAAAGAGCAAAAGTTCTCACAGTAAATTTAAGAACTCATCTTCTAACTTACGTACGTACAATCCTGAAACAAATTTTGCAATTCAAAATTCAAGCACTTGAACCTAGGGCTCAATTGACCTGCATACATTTCCATGTTCATTTTTTGGCTTGCTTCTGTTTATCTTTTACTTAGAAACACAAGAGAAGACATTCTCAAATTAAATTTAAATGAAAGCAGGGAAAGAGATTATTGCCTTCATTGTTACACTTGATAATGAAGTTTAATTATACGTTAATTATCATCACCTTGTAGTTATATCCTAGAAGCTTGCTTGTGGATGATTGGGGATGAAAATATTATTTCTTTGTTTTAACTCCTTTGTCATTTACTAGGCTTTTCGATTTTTTTTTGATCGAAAATTCTGGTATAGAACTTATATTTAGAATGAATCATAACCATCCTCCATCGTGGTGACTCGAGAAGTGTTTCCCAGAAAGTATATCACACATAGACGTTAGTAAATCATGTAACTAGATCCAATAGAGATGTAAGAAGTAGCTTAGCATGTGATGATCTACTTTCCAATTTGGTGAAAGAAAAAAAGAAAAGTAAGGAAAAGAAAAGAAAGAACCTATGTGGTTTGTTTCTATACTTAACCAAGTTAAGCTGCCCTGTTCTTCTGCTTACCTCCTTCAATTCCTTGATATCAAATGCATGCATCCCACATTTCACCCTATAAATGCCCAAAATCAAATAAAATCTTAATGAAAATAGATACAGGCCCTTCATGGTCCCAATCTTCAGTGTTACACTGGATAATGAAACTGAATTTGTTACACGGCACAGCAATCCTAGCTAATATAGGGAAAAGCTTGGCGGTTAACCCCAGTCCAAATAGAGATATCAGTGGGAGGGTTCATTTGCTGTATATGATCATTTTTCTATTTGGTGCATGAAAATTCTCTGTTACGGGTTGATAGGTAAAGCTAAATTCCTTAACGTAGAAGTTGACACCTGATAATTTTGTTGCATGGAAACAAAAGATCAATCCCCAGTACCCCTTTTACTATAGCCAATACAAGAGAGGCTTCAAGCTTATACCTTGACAAATAAAGTAACTAACTCTAGTTAGCGGGAAAAGAAGCAGCTTCAAATTCACGCGCACCGTGGCGAATACTGAGCTGGCCTCTCTTTGCTACTTCCCTCCAGTAGACTCACTTCAAGTTCATGCACAACCGACTTCACACTATAAATACCCCCTCCCATCTTCTGTGCAACCTCACACATCAGCACACAACAATGGCCATCTCCCTCCTCTCCTTAATATTTCCTCTCTTGACCCTAACCCCCAATGCATCAGCCTACTATCAACCCGATAACCTCAAGCCCAAAACCAACACCCCATCATCAAGCTCCTACATCATCCACACTGACAACCTCACAAGACCCTCAATCTTCCCTACCCAATCTCACTGGTACTCTTCCATCCTCAAGTCTGCCGTCGCCAACCAAACCTACGACCAGGATCGCATCTTTTACACCTATGACACCATTATGCACGGCTTCGCAGCCACGTTGACCCCCGACGAAGCCCGAAAAGTCTCTTCGACACCCGGGGTCATCGGCGTCTATAATGACTCTATCTTCGAGTTGCACACGACTAGATCGCCAAACTTCCTCGGTCTCAACCTTGGCGACGGTCTCTGGACCGATAAGTTTGACGCTGGCGACAATGTTGTTATCGGGCTTGTGGATACTGGCATCTGGCCTGAGGAACCTTCATTTGACGACGCTGGTCTCCCTCCGATCCCGCCCGAATGGCGAGGAGAATGCGAGATTCGTGACCGTTTCAATATCAGTGCGTGCAACAAAAAATTGATCGGAGCGAGGTTTTTTCGCTCCGGAGCTAGGGCTCGAGGCCTTAGTTTCGACGATGGAAGCGAGTTCATGTCGCCTAGAGATAAAGACGGCCACGGCACGCATACCGCTTCGACCGCTGCAGGTTCTGCAGTTGCTAATGCTAATCTGTTCGGTTTTGCAAATGGAACCGCTCGAGGAGTGGCAACTCGAGCCAGGTTGGCTATGTACAAAGCTTGCTGGGGATTCTATGGATGCCCGGTCTCTGACATAGTTGCTGCCATCAACGCTGCAGTCAAGGATGGTGTTCATATCCTCTCTCTGTCTCTTGGTGGAGGACCTGAAGAATTCTATGCTGATGCTGTCGCTATCGCCGCGTTTGCTGCTGTTCGAAATGGCGTATTTGTCGCATTTTCTGCAGGCAATAGCGGGCCCGATGAAGGATATGTCGTTAACATTGCTCCGTGGATCACGACGGTCGGTGCTGGATCAATCGATCGCAAGTTCCCTGCGCGTGTCACGCTAGGGAACGGTGAAGTCTACGTTGGACAATCTTTATATCAGCAATCACCGAACTTTACAGGATTTGCTCCTCTTGTTTATGTGCCACAATGTTTGATGTCTGATTCAGAAATAACACAACTCGTCAAGGAAAAGATCCTCATGTGTGAAAATGCATTTGTTGAGCTCGGTATGAAAGTGGCTAAAGCCAGAGGTGTCGGTCTGATCGGACTCAATGACAATTATAGCGGCGAAGGAGTTATCGTTAAAGCATTCACATTGCCAGGTTTGACATTAGGCTACTTTGAAGCACAGAAGTTGATCAAATACATAAACTCAACCTCAAATCCAAGAGCTTCGCTTCAATTCGATTACCAAACTGTTATCGGAGAAAGCCGAGCTCCAACAGTCGCTTACTTCTCAGCAAGAGGTCCTAACATTATCCAGCCAGAGATTCTGAAACCTGATATTCTTGCTCCAGGCATGAACATCCTTGCTTCTTGGCCTACTGAAACTCCTCTAACTGGAAGCTTGAAAGATTTGAGACGTGCAGGCTTCAACATAATCTCCGGTACTTCGATGTCCTGTCCTCATATCGCTGGTGTCGCTGCGCTTCTCAAAGCAGAACACCCAAATTGGTCGCCAGCAATGATTCGATCAGCGATGATGACCACAGCGTTCCCACTCGACAACAGTTATCGCCCAATTTTCCTCGACGAGAGCCTGAAGCCTGCAAACGCACTGGCGATTGGCGCAGGCCATGTCGATCCTGTGAGGGCGAAAAATCCAGGGCTGGTGTATGATCTGGGAGTACAGGACTACATCAATTTGCTCTGCACAATGAATTACACCGAGGCACAAATTAAAAGGTTTATGCCAGAGCCAAGCGCGTGCTCGAAATTTGAAGGCGGGGTGGGGGATCTCAACTACCCGTCTTTCGTAGCGATTTTCGACGCGGAGACGAAGGCGAGGACGTTGACGAGGACCCTGACGAAGGTCTCGGAGCTGCCGGAGACGTACGAGGCCAGAGTTGTCAACCCGAGACCCGACAAGGTCGAAGTGGTCGTCGAGCCGAAGACGTTGGAGTTCGGAGGGCAAGGAGAGAACCTGAGTTATAAGGTGCGGTTCGTGAGCAAGGTTGATGAGATCAGCTACACGGAGGTTGAGAGGGAGTACGGGTACATAATGTGGGAGAACACTGAGCATCAAGTGAAGAGTCCGGTCGTGTTCATGTGGAAATGATCAGATTTGAGTGATGTAATTAAATACTATGAACCATGTAATTAAATAAGGCCAGGAGAGATTTTAGGATATGTTTACGTTTATGTTCCTTAGTTATTCGAAAGATATTTCCATGATATTTTTCTAGTTCAATACTATGAACGAAGTAAACTCGTTTATGAAATATTGAGTTGATTTATTTAATGAATAATTGTGCATCTTATTTATTTTAATGAGTTTTATTTATTTTTATCTTAACTGAAAATGAAGAAGGGGGGTTCTGCGCATACACCTTTCAAATCTTTCATATTTACAAAATTACCCCTCAAATATTGATATTTGCAAAAATGACCCCACTTCTCTCACGTTGATCTTTTCTATCCTTCCACTTAATAATTTTAGTTTTTTTTAACTGGAAATCATTACAAGCCTATTGGAGGTTATCGGAAACGTTGACATTGCTTTGTTTTAAATGCGGCATTCTTAAGTCGGAGCATTAGAAATAGTTAATACGCCAGTTTTGAGGGATAAGTTTGCAAATATCAAGATATAAGGGGTATATATGCAAAAATCCTATCATGCTTCTAAAGATTCATTTTGAATCTCGACTCATCACTCATAATCCTCTCTTTTAAGCCTGCGAAGATACGACTTTGGTTGATTTACAAAAGCCCAGAGTTTAACTAAGGCCCGTACTTTGGGCCGGGCCTTAAGTCCATTGGGCCCAACTTAAGGCGCAAGAAGAAGACGGGCTCACGCTCAACAACCGCCTTCAAAATGCCCCAGCAGGACTCGAGAAGAGGAAAATTAGAAAGAAGCGGCCGAAGAATTTTAGAGAGAGAAAGTATAGAGAGAGAGAGAGAGAGAGAGAGAGAGAGAGAGAGAAACAATGGTGTCTCTGGCTCTCTACAGAGGGAACCTCCACCGAGTCTCCGACGCTCCTCGGCAATGGCGGATGCCTCCTCGCGCGATCACGCTCAGCCAGTTCCGGATCCTCACCCAGAAGCGCGAGAAAGCCCTAGCTCGCCTCGCCGCCGCCCAAAAAAACCCTAAGAAGGAGGAGGAAGAAGTTGAAGAGGTGAATTTTAAGGAGGAGGAGGAGGAAGTAGAGGTGAAGAATCCTGAGGTCTCTCAACCTCAACCGATCGAGGTTAAAGTAGAATCCAAAGAGGCTGAGGATCGCACGGAGACGATCGAAGCTTCGATCTCTGCTTCTTCCGCTGCAAAGGGACCGGAGACGGCGACGACGACTCAGGTGAGAAATTTTGTTACTTGTAGTAATTTTGGAGTTAGGGCCGTCTATGGGAATTGGAGGTTTGTGAGGGTGATTGTATAATGCAACTTGTCAGTTTCTCTGGGAGCAGTGAGAGATTGGGGCTAATAACTGGAATGTTTGGAAAAATTTTATTATTTTAAAGCAATTTTGCACTTTATGTTAGATGGGAGTGGGAGGATTAGGGCCTGCATAGAATTAGAGGTTGTGGATGGACGATTTTAGGATGGAATTGGTTAGTTTCTATGTGGTGATTACGAAATTAGGGGTAACGGGGCCTTGAGAAGAATGCAAAGTTTTTCTAGTGGAATTTGTTTTGCATGTATTCGTGCTCTGTGTAGAATTTTTTTTTGGAACGGGATGAACTAGAAGTTCTAAATAAGTGGGGTTACTGCGGTAATATGATATTAGTGCATCTTTTTTATGTACTTTATTTTTTAAATTTAGATTCTTGTAGATTTCTTTATGGAATCGTGAAACCCAATTCATGCATGGCTTGAGATTGGGATTGAGTGAACTTTCCCGCGTTCTTTTCTCTTTTGTCTTACCTTTTTGTAGAGAATTTCTACAAGTAGCATTTTGTTTAGATTCTCTATGGAAAGATTTACAAAGCCACTTACATGTACTGATGATGGTATTAGGACACTGTTCTTAAGGAAGTTCGGGAAGTTCGTTAATAATCACGTCTTCTGCAAGTGAAACCAGCTTTTACAATTTGAGGCTCAACCCCTTTTAGATGCTGACTGATGAAGCTTGCAGATCGGGAATATTGCTGTCAACTTCTGAAGTGTTTTGGATGAATTAGATCAAAATGCAAGAGCAAACATACTTAAAATTCTGTTTTTTAACTAGAATTGCCCTTATTTATTTGAGCGATGCGCTTTATGGGGTACATACCTGTTTCTTTCTGTAAAGCCGAAGCTAACAAAAATGTAATTTACTTCAGAGTTTAGAAGGTTCAAACATCAATTACTATTTACTATGTTACATGCTTTAATGCATAACTATAGTATATGAATAATCAACTGTTACTTTTTTGCTAATATTATTGTATTAACCTCGCAAACCAAATTGAAGAATCTTGTTTCCTCTAATTTATTTCCTGGTTACCTCAAGGCTTTCTTGTAACTGAGATTTCGTTATATATTAGAAATGGTCTATTTTGTGTGAGCTTTACTATCTTGCTTCAATATCCTTGGTTTGGCTGGTCCGTTGACATCTTGATTCTAACAAGGATATCATTTTTGTTGAAAGTTTCTCCACTCTATCTACTAATACAGTTTGATGGTTACAATGTCTTCTTTCTAGGTAAACAACGTGGATGCTGCGAAAGAGAAAAGGAAAATAGAACTGGAGAAGAAGTTGGAACATCTGAAGCAGAAAAAACACCATCTTGTCCAAATGCTGAAGCAGGTAAACTTCCAAAAGTGAATTTGTTCTGTCCCATTAATATTAGCTATGTAAACAGAATAAGTTAAACTTTTCACTTGACTCTAGTTGGTTATCAAGCTTAGATAAATGCTAAATGGTTCATAAATTGGTTTTCATAGTAAGTTGCATGGAACGTGCAAGTGTGGTTGTGGGTATGTGTAGAAGACACATCAAATTTAATAAAGGATGGGTATGGGGACATAGCTGAAACACATGAGCTCTAATCATAGTTCTAAGCTAGATAAGCAAACGGCCCTTTGAAATCAAAGTTTTTAAGGCTGAAATGAACTCGACCATTGTCCAATAAGTTCCAAAAATAGATATGAAGTGTAGGATATATGTCCAGAAAGCGTATTATGACTTATGAGTGTTATAAATAAAGCATGTATTGTATAATTGAGTACACGTCTGAGTAGATGTACACATATATCTAAGGAGTGTCCAAGAAGTGTCAGGTACAAGTACGGGCATGGGCATAGCTTGATGATAGAAGTACCCAGGTAACATACCTTTAGTAGTCTATTCAGACGATCACCTCCTTGTGAGAGGTCATAAGCTTTGGCCAGGAAATGATAATAGACTGCATATTCAAATATAATTGCGTGCTGATGCAGACATAAGAATCCACCGCCAACCCCCCCCCCCCCCCCCCCCCCCCACCCCCCACCAAAAAAAGAAAAGAAAAGAAAAAAAGAAGAGTCTAATTCGCAAGCATCAGATTACCTCTTCTATTAAACAGAAAATATTTCTCTAATTTGCAAGCATCAGATTAGCTCTTCTATTGAACAGAAAATATTTGTTGTTTCGCTGTCGCATTTACTTTTGGTATGACTTTTTAGCAAGAATTATTGTGATGCAATGGTAGCAGTAGTAGCTTTTATATTCTTCATAATTGTTTGCAGTATTGGGAGGTCTCATTCCAACATCTTATGATGCTACAAAAGAAACATATCATCCATGGTTTCTTTATTAATATCATCCATGGTTTCTTTATTAAGTCAATCATATGATTCTTTTTGATCAATTAAACAGTGGGCTTCCTTTGAACAGATTTTAAACGCAGAGGAGGAAATTAAAAGACGAAATGCCCAAACTGCTGCCTTGCGTTCTTCAATTCCTTTACAATCTGAAACTACAGTTGACATGGGCTCTGCTACTAGGAATGTTCCAAAACTTAGTGTGGAGGTAAATTTTAGTGGTGATTTAGCTGCGGAATCAGATGCTACCACTAATAACAGTGCTCAAGGACATCACATGCATCAAGCGCCCATTACATCCCCATCTGCTACGTCTCTCAGAAGGCCTTTCCAACAGAATACGGTAATTACTTATAGGAGAAGAAAGAGAATCACTATTTGAATTTGTTATTTATTTTTCATGTTCGAAATAGACTTTTTAGAAGCCTTCTGCTTTGGTTCTTAATACTGTTTTCCTTTATTCTGGATATTCTAGGGGTGTAAACTTGAGGATAATTTTCCATTTTCTAGTGGAGGGCTGTATTAAACTGAGATTAGTGTTCTTAGTTCGTATTTAGCTTACTATTTTTTTTTCTGAAGTAGGTTAAATTTTGGGCTTAGCACATAGTGAAAACTAATGTGCTGTCAGCTCAATTTCTCATTATAATTTTATGGTGACCTGTAATTTCTTCTATGCCCCTCATTGAAATGATTCCAATTACAGAGTTTTTGTGAATGTATATGTAGCAAAGTTAAGCCTATATTTTCAAATGAAAATAATTTATTGGATCTTTCACTTGGTTTATGGTATATTTTGGTGAAGAATAAGTTAATTTTAGTCCGCGAACCCAAATTAAGGGTTAGGTAATCCTCTAGGACTCTGAGACCAGGATCTACTTTAAGCGACAAGATTAGAAATTTATCTATTAATACTACATCTATGGTAATTATAGAAAAATACAACAATTGTGTTTGTCCGTTTCGGAACATAATTACACATGCCATGCTTTGTATAAAAATCGTTATGCCTTTTAGCCTGTTGGCTTACAAAATTACTTGGTAACTGTACAGTATTGCAATTTATGGCTTTGTTAGTAATCAAATATTAGAAAAAATTAACAAGTCTAATATAATATATAGAATTTTTTCCTTTCTCTTTTTCTTTTCTTTTTTTGGTTATTTATTTATTTATTATTATTATTATTATTATTATTATTATTAATTTTTTTTTTTTTGGGGGGGGGGGGGGGGTTTTCTCTGTTCTTTATTGGTGGCAGTGTTCTGTCTGATTGCCGTATTGAAGTGTTATGTTTGCCACCAGTACTATTCAAAAAGCTTAAGTATTTGAGTTGTGGGCCAATGTTATATAAAAGGCATCATTGAATTCCCTCATGTGTGCCATGGGGAGGTTGACTAATGGGCTGTTTGGAGATCTCCAAGGACTCTCTTTGAGGCTGATTAACTGACCACATGAAGATCCTCAAAGGAAGCAATAATTCCATATAGAACAGTTGGAATTTTTTAAATCTTTATTGTGGTACTAGTACTTATGAAGTTACAAATACCAAGGTTTACGCACAGTCTTAATGAAGGCCTTTCCCTATGATTCCATGCTAGATAACGACAGCTTGAAAGCTTAACTCAAATAACGTGCAATATCATTCAAGAGGCATTACTGACAACATGCTGAGTGTAGATGGAAAATGTTAATGCTACAATAAGTGCTATATCTGTTTCTATTTATTTAGGAAAATCTAGTGATCAATACACATAAATAATGGTGTCTGCAGTAAACTTCAGTAGACACATACGGAAACAGTAAGGAGAACTGAAGAAGTCTTAGATGATATACCTTGTGATTTGAAAGCCTAATTCAACCCCATTTTTCTGATGAATTGAGGCATAAAGCTATAATATCAAGTTCTTGGAAGAAACTATATTGTAAAACAGACTTTTGTTTTAATGGGAAGTTCTATAGGCTAAAAGCCGATATGATAGGATAAGGAAGCTCTCAAGGAGGGAGAAATAACTTCTTGAGGAGAATCAAAGCCACAATCTTCTACAAGGGAAAGAAGTGTTACAAGAGTATGCATGTCAAACCGTTTAAACCTTTTAAAAGTATATACCACCTGGTAAAACGTAGAAATATGTTATACAACCGAAAATGAAATAAGAAAGAAGTAGAAAATGGGGGAGATGGAAGGTTGTCATCAGATAGTTTTTGAGCGAAACAATAGCTTTGTCTTCCTCTTCTTGTCTTTATTAGTCTCTTAAATATTATGATGCATGAATTTCCTAATATGGGTTCAGTGGTAGAGCACACATCAAAATTTTTCTAATTTAACCTTGCAAGTGTCTGGGAGGGTTAAATGATGTTGTCAATTAGATTCTAGCCTTAACACAAAGTAGTTATACATGCGACTATCCATCTGATTGGATATATTTCTCCTTGTTTCTTGAAAAGATAAGGCCAAAGTGAAAGGTTTGTATTCTTAATTTCTTATCCATCACGATCATGGACCGTTCCCTGGTGTCTGCTGGCTTTTCTCATCCCCCCCCCCCCCCCCGAAAAATACCACTAACTAGAGATGTTAACAAATAATCCTATTATGTCCACAGCAAATGGCTAGCAGTTAACAATTATTTTATTTTCATGCAAATTCATTCTATTTTAGGGCATCATAATGCTTAAAGAAAAAGGAACAACGAGGAGTTGCATACATGTAGGGAAGAGATTGTATGAGTAAGTTATTTATTTCTTTTGAACCTAAATTGTGCAAGAAGGGAAAATCTTGAAAACATCAAGAAACTTTTTTGATCTGGTGAACTTATTGAAGGGAACGTCGTTGGGAAGTTTATTATGTATGAAACAAATTCAGGAGTGAGGACATTTACAGTGTCCTGGTGCGTCTTCTGCAAGTCTATTGAACTTGATTTCCAAACGAATTTTGGAGAATTAACCACATGCTGCTAAAATGTTTCTTCTCTTATGCTGCTTCCAGTAGATTGGTTGCGATTTAAAGACCATGCACAATCTCTATGTATCAGATATAGCATACATTCTACTGCAGTGTTGAGGTTTCCCTTTCTGCTCCAGCTCATTGACTATTACGTTTACTTTTGTCTGGACATTCTCACCCTTAATTTGTGCTTTATCTTTTATTCTTGATGGTGTCATACATGGACTGCTAGGAAAATACGAAATTTAAAACAATCTCTATGTGGATTGATATTGTCTGCTGTATAGTTTGCTTGTTTGTGTGCTTGTTTCTTCTTAAATTAGAAATCCTTTGAATGAAACCTGCATGCATTAGTTGTTGTTGAGTACTTGAATAATATTAAGAGTATTCACTGTATAATTGCACCTTTTCTTTTACTTGACTAGATAATGAAATTTGGATGGCAGTAAATCATTGTGGTTTTTGCTTTTAATTATTGTCCTTTACATGGTGCTGTTTATGTTGTATTGCCTTTAATTCTTTCCTTCTGGTATTAATATCCATACATGGAGATATTTTTCTCATGTTAATAGTGATTTTGAGTTTATATAACTTTATTTGTTTTCTCATAAGTGATGCTTGTTTGTTCTTAAATTAGATATCTTTTTCTACAAAACCTACACACGATAGTCGTTGAATACTCAAACAAGCAGAAGAGAATGACCATACAACTGCACCTTTCCTTTTATTCTATTAGATGGTGAATAGATGGCAATAAATCATTATGGTTTTACTTTTAATTACTGTCCTTAACACGGCGTAGTTTATACTTATCCTTTAATTCTTTCCTTCTGGTATTAATATCCATACACGGATGCATGTTTCTCATTTATAGAGTTTAATTAGTTTTTCTAATATCATATCCTTTATGTGATGCAGTTCCTTTCCACCCCAAGATCAGCGACCTCAGGACACGGCCAAACTCCATCCAATGTGTTTGCGGGCAATAATACTGCAGTAGCAACATCTAGTCCATCTCGCTTCGCTCCAGCCGGAGGAAACCAAGGGCATCATCACTCTGCGAGCCTACCTCCTCCTGTCCCTGGCTCGCACTTCATGGCATCATCTCCATCCCCAGCAGCATCTGGAGGTGCTTCCTCAGCCTTCAGGGATGCTCGCCTTACCAGTTCTTCATGAAGCAACCCCATAGGTTTGTTAAGTCTCGTGTTAAGGTGCAAGTATTTAGGGTCTGTTGTTGTTACCTTTGTTGTACCGAATATGAAGTTGCAAAGTGTCCGAGGATCCCAATCTGCAGTGAAGATTACAGAGGGGGATTCTTGCCTCTGCAATGGAAAGTTGGTAAGTAGTAAAAAGGCTCGAGGATCTGACCTAGGGTCTTTGTCTTTTTAACTAGTAAAAAGGCTCGAGGACCCTCACCTGCAGGGTTAGAGGATCTTCCCCTTCTAATTTGGAAAAAAAAAAAAAATAGAAATGGAGTTATATATATTGGAGTTAAAATGGTCTTGTTTGCTGTGTTTTTCACCTCTTTATTCTTCCAGTTCTCTAACTTGAGTTTCCTGTCTCTTTGTTTTCTGTTACAAATCAAACCCAACCAATCGTACAAAGCCTGATTGTTCGATATGAGATCATTTGTGTGTGCGTGTAGAGGACAGTTTATAGGATATTCTCCCTCTGTTTCATGTCCTGATCTCACTGGTAGAAGTATTATTCATTGTATTATAACCCATAATTTTCATCAATTTTTCGTTGTTTGGACCTAATCGTGGCGTACTTCAAAATTAGCAATTTTAATGGGTTATATAGCCTAAGATTTTTGTCTATTTTCGTCAGTTTCGACCAATTAGCTATTAAATTTTCTTTCTTCAAAAGTCGCGATTTTATGAGTTATGACCCATGAATTTTGTTCATATTTGTTTGTTTTGGCCTAATGGAAATGAAATAGCATGCTTAAAAATTAACAATTTCTATGAGTCAAAATCCACGATTTCCTATTTTCTTGGGTTTTTAACTCAATTTTTTCGTCCAATTTTGTTTATTTTGACCCGGTGCGAATTATTTGGCGTGCTAAAAAAATCGTAATTTTCATGAGTTGTAACCCACATTTTTTGTTCACCTTCGTCAATTGCTAATTAAGTTTTTTTGTTTTCAAAAAAACTCAAGATTTTTATGGGATATAATCCCCGATTTGAGTCCATTTTTGTTTGATTCAGCCTAATGGAAATTATTTGACACGTTTCAACATTCACAGTTTTTAAAGGTTATAACTTACAATTTTTTTTTATTTTCTTAGATTTTAACCCATGATTTATATTTGTTTTCGTTTATATGAGATTATTTGTAGTACTTCAAAATTCATAATTTTAATGGGTTATAACATAATGAACTTTTCTATTTTTCATTTATTTTAATCCAGTGGCAATTAAGTCTTCTTTCTTTAGCTTACCATTTTTTCAGGCTATAAGCTTGTCTATTTTTGTTTGTTTAAATTTGATGGAAATTATTGGTATACTTTAAAATTGGTAATTTTTATTGGCTACATTCAACGATTTTTATCCATTTTTGTTCCTTTCTAGCCAATGACAATTAATTTTTCTTTCTTCAAAATTTCCCATTTCATAGGGTTATAACTCATTGAAAACTTAACTATCATAGGATAGAAACAGATAAAAAAAATGAATGAAAATCATAGGATAGAAACAGACAAAAAAAATGTATGAAAATCATGAGTAATTTATCCATTTTTGTTCATTTCAAGCTTATGACAATTAAGTTTTTTTTAACAAAACTTATGATGTTCACTAGCAATTTATTATGATTTGTTCATTTTCGTTTGTTTTTTTGTGATGATAGAAATTATTTGGCGTACTTCTAAATTCGCAGCTTTCATGGGCTACAAATAATTTTTTCTTTTATTTTGTCTATTTTGACCTAATGACAATTAATTATAAGTAATTTAAAATTAGTGATTTTCTTGGATTATAGCCCACGATTTCCATTCATTTTTGTTCATTTTCGAAGTAATGATTTTTTCGCGTACTTTAAAATTAGCAAATTTTATGGACTATAACAGAAGGTTTTTATTCATTTTCGTCCATTTCTACCTAGTGACAAATTTTTTTGAAACTCACCATGTTCATGGACTATAATTGAAGCTTTTTTTGGGAAATTTTCGTTAGTTTGAGTCCAATATAAAGCAAGTTTTCTTCCTTCAAAAATCTTGATTTTCATGAGCTATAACCTACGATTTCTGTCCATTTTCGTATATTATGATCTAATGAAAATTATTTGACGTACTTCAAAATTTACGATTTTCACTCTATAACATGTTTTTTATGTATTTTTTCTGCTCATACCTAATGACAAATAATTACGCGGACTTTAGAATTTACAATTTCTAACTTTTTGTTTGTTTCACCGGATTAGCTATAAAGTTTTCTTTCTTCAATATTCACAATTTTCATGAGCTCTATCTTATTATTTCTGTCCATTTTTGATTGTTTGCATATAATGGAAATTATTTGAGGTGTATATGATTAATTATAGATGGATCTCATGAGATATAGGATATAAATGTAACCACAAAGTTGCGAGGAGCAAGTATAGAGCAGAGAAACTAACAACGCAGCAGTAAAAGTTTATTATATAGGTTGTGTATTTGAGGTGTATATGAGCAATTTTGAGAACCCGATGGGCATCGTGATAATAATCTCGCCACACTACCCATCCTATTTCTTTCATGGATTATATGCATGGCCGTGTCATGCGTTTTAGTAAAGTCCAATTTACGTACCATGTTCACCCCACTTCCAACCATTGGCATTGCAATTTTCCAATTTTTCTTCATATAGTATAACTCATGATTTTTCAATTTTTTTATTTGTTTCGACTCAATAACAAATAATTATGTGGACTTAAAAATTAACAATTTCATAAGCTATATATATATAATCTACAAATTTTTAATTTTTTAATCAATTTTGATCCAACGACAAATAATTTTGTGGAGTTTAAAATTCATGATTCATGGCCCATGAGCTGTAATCCATGATTTTTGTATTTTTATTTGTTTCTATCTAATGAAAAATAATTTTTTAAAGTTCAAAATTCACAATTTTATGAGGTACAACACACGATTTTTGTCCAGTTTTGTTCGTTTCGACCTAATATCAAATAATTTTTGTCCAATTTTAATCTTTTCGATCTAATGACAAATAATTTTTTAGAGTTTAAAATTCATGATTTCATGAGCTATAGGCCATAATTTTTTTTTATTTTCATTCATTTTGGCCCAATGGAAAATAATTTTACATAGTTCAAAATTACAATTTTAAGAGCTATAACGAATGATTTTTTTTTTTTTTTTGCATTTTCATTTGTTTTGAATCAATGGAAATAATTTTACGGAGTTAAAAATTCATGATTTCATTAATTATAACCCATGATTTTTAAATTTTTTATTTATTTCAAATTTATGGCAAATAATTTTGTAGAGTTTGAAATGTACTATTTTATGAGCTATAACCCATGCGTTTTGTGCATTTTTATTTGTTTTGACACAATGGTAAATAATTTTGTAGAGTTTAAAATTCACAATTTCAAGAGTTACACCATGAACTTTGTCCATTTTTGTTCGTTTTGACCATATGATAAATAATTTTGCAGAGTTTAAAATATACTATTTTATGAACTATAACCATGACTTTTGTACATTGTTGTTTTTCTTGATCTAATGGTAAATAGTTTTTTAGAGTTAAAAATTCATGATTTCATGAGCTATAACATAAGATTTTGTCGAATTTTATTTGTTTTGATCCAATGGCAAATAATTTTGTGGAGTTCAAAATTCACAATTTTATGAGGTATAACACACGATTTTTGTGCATTTTCGTTTGTTTCAACTCAAAGGAAAAATATTTTTTTATAGCTGTCAAAATTTATGATTTCATGAGCTATAACTCATGAAATTTTAAAATTTTTTGATCCAATGATAAATAGTTTTATATTGTTTAAAATTCAATATTTCAAGAGCTATAACCTATTATTTTTGTTTGTTTTGTTTGTTTTGACTGCTATGGTAAATAATTTTGTAGAGTTTAAAATTCACAATTTTAAGAGTTTACACCACGAATTTTGTCCATTTTGACCATATGATAAATAATTTTGCGGAGTTTAAAATATACTATTTTATGAACTATAACAATATCTTTTGTACATTGTTGTTTTTCTTGATTTAATGGTAAATAATTCTTTAGAGTTGAAAGTTCATGATTTCATGAGATACAACATAAGATTTTTGTCGAATTTCATTTGTTGTGATCCAATGGCAAATAATTTTGTGGAGTTTAAAATTCACAATTTTATGAGCTGTAACACACGATTTTTGTGCATTTTCATTTGTTTCAACCCAAAGGAATAAATAAATATTTTTACAGCGGTCAAAATTTATGATTTCATGAGCTATAAGTCATGAATTCTTTAATTTTTTGACCCAATGATAAATAGTTTTACACTGTTTAAATTCAGTATTTCAAGAGCTATAACCTATTATTTTTGTTTGTTTTGATTGTTTTGACCATATAGCAAATAATTTTGTAGATTTTAAAATTCACGACTTCATGAGGTATAACTAATATTTTTTTACTTTTTGTTCATTTTGATTCAATTGAAAATAAATTTTTAGAGTAAAAAATTCATGATTTTATGAGCTATAACAATGATATTTGTCTAATTTTGTTCATTTTGACTAAATAGAAAATGAATTTTATCCAACTTTTTTATTTCGATCCAATGGCAAATAACTTTTCGGAGTTTAAAATTCATGATTTTATGAGCTTTACACATGAAGTTTGAACTTTTTTATTTATTTTGATCTAATGACAAATAATTTGATGGTATTTAAAATTTATAATTTCACGAGATATAACCGATGCTTTTTGAATTTTTCATCTATTTTGATCTAATGACAAATAATTTTGTGGAGTTTAAAATTCCCAATCTCATGAGCTATAACGCTCAATTTTTGTGCATTTTCGTTCATTTTGACCTAATGGAAAATATAATTTAATGGAGTTTAAAATTCATGATTATAAGAGCAATAACACATAATTTTTAAATTTTCTTATTTGTTAAAACCAAATGGAAAATAATTTCTTGGATTTAAAATCTATAATTTCATGTACTCTAACCCACTATTTTACATGCTATAACCCACAATTTTTATTGAATTTCATTCATTTTTATTTAATGTCAATTAATTTTTTCAGAGTTTAAAATTCATCTCATGAGCCATAATCCATGATATTTTGTCCATTTACATTCATTTTTACCTAATAAAAATTATTTTACAGAGTTCAAAATTCATGATTCAATAGCTATAACCCAATCTTTTTAAATTTGTTTTGTTTGTTTTGACCTAATGGCTAATAATTTTATAGAGTTCAAAATTTATAATTTTGTGAGTTATAACCCATGATTTTGTGAGTTATAACCCATAATTTTTGTCTAATTTTA